AGAAAATACAACAGAGGTTGCTATGCAGGTGACCCCCTTTATCTGCTCGGTGGCCTTGCTCTTGGGGGGAACCCTTGGAATGGGACTTCCAGGGGAGCTTTATGGTTGAAGTGCCCTCGCTCGGACTGCTCTCCCCAACCCTGGCTTCCCTTCAAAAGGGTTGAGCCAGCCCCACGTATGAACTGCCCAGGGCTGCTGGGAGCCTGAAGAAGGAGGTGAGCTGAACTTGGAACCGGAAGCTCAGGCCCTGTCCCTGGTGCCAATCAAATAACAAGGACAAGGCGTGGGGTGGGAGAAGGAGACGGCTGTGTCTGTTGAAGGTGAGGGGTAGCAGACCTTAGGGTCTCAGGGACTGCTCCTTCGCTGGATGAGGGTGTTGGGGGCTGAGAAAGAGGCTACGTGGTGTGGGGAAATCACTCCCTTGCGGTCCACAGGCGGTGAGATCAGACCTAGCCTGGCCAGGTCTTCCTGTCTGTAAAAGAAGTTGAGACAAGGAAGAAGACAATGAATGTCTTAGGACACCGGCGAGCAGGGAGCCAGAGTCTGGCCTGAAACATCAACTTCCTGGCTTTCCATTTATGGAATAAAATTCGTCTTCTTTTGTTTTATTCCTGGTTATGATTCCAGCGTGAGACGTGAAGACGTTCTCCAAATGTCCGTGTTGTGGCTTGCGTTGTTCAGTAATTTGGAGAATGTGCTAACTTTCAGATTTAATTGATGAAAAGGGCATGTGCCCCGGCCACGCTTTGATTCAAACCCCCTCCCTCTCTCACCGGCGGCTGCCCGATGGCTTCCTCCTCTGCCTTTCTCTTCCCAAACCGTCTCCTCCCCTTTAGCACCTTGAATCAGACATGAGCTTCCTCAGAAGCCCACAACTTCCTGTTGCTTGCTGATTAACCCGAGATCCACGGTGTCGGTGTGACCGGCTCGGACCTTCAACCTCCAGCCTGTTTCCACACCAATACTTCCCGCGGGGCCATCTGCTGTCCCCCAGTGAGGCCCCCCTCTCCCACCTCCCTGCTTTCCATGAGCCACTCCTTCTGCCTTCCAGTCCCTTTCCCGTCTCTGCTCCAGGGAAGCAGCCAAAGGTCTCTCGGTCGCCACCCCAGGAAGTGCGGCTGTCTCTGCTCCCAGCATGTACGTCAGTACCCCAATATTTTCAGTAGTCCCCAGGGACACGTGGTCTCTTCAATGCCTTTTGGAGGAAGCTCCACGCAGAGGAATTCAATGACGTGATGATAGGAGACAGTAAGAGACACAGCAAGCCATCCACACACAGCAAGGCATCTGTCTTATTTAGACACCCAACGTGGGCCTCGGTGTCAGGAAAAGGGGTCTAGAAAATTGAGCCTCTTCTACTTGGCTTTCAGTGGGGTGTAGAGGGCGATAAGGGGTTGTTCTTTTCCTCACTCTGTGGGTTCAACCCCCCTAGTTCAAGCTCCGATTGGTATGGCTGGAGACTGAAGTCGATTAAGGGCAAAGATGAGGCTTGTGGGAACCACGAGGGAACCAGGTACTGCCTTCATGGAAAAAGACATGGACACAATTAGGGCCCTTGGGAGGTGATGCCTGGCCCTGTGGTCCAGCTGTTAGGCAGGCATCTCCCCCTCCCCCCGCTCTCGTCTCTTCCCTGCAAACACCTGGCTTTATGATCTGTGTCCTGCACACACTCTGGTCCAGGGACAGAGGGAGACAGTCGCGTCCTGGGGAAATTGGCCGGGCTTTAACCCAGGCTCCGGCTTCCCATCTGTAAACAAGAGGCTGGACCATGTACGCTGTCACTGGACAGCCTGGGCTTGCCCTAGAGGTTGGCCTTGGGGACCCTGGGGTGGGTCAAGACCACTGACTACAGGCCTGGCTCTTCCTCCCACATAGCCAGACTCCAGCAGCATACAAGCACTCCCCTGCTCCTGTCTGGAATTGGCTTGTGTGTCCCAGGGGCCAGGGGCCCTGGTTCCTTCTGGCTCACCAGGCCTTTGACACTTTGCCGTGAGGAGTCAGGGGGCCGGGGCTGTGTGACCCTTTGTCCTGATTAAGGAGCCGGCTACAGAGGAGTAGGCCTATTGCTGGCATCTCCTCTACAGGGGCGGAAGCTCCTTCTCGGGAACCATCCTCACGGAGTGGGCACTTCAGCCTTGGGGACCTCTCGGACGCAGCGGCCAGCTGGCGCTGTCTCCTGCATTAACGCACGCCATTCGTGGTGGTGCTATCTCGCTCACCATCACAGCTACACGTCTGTCGAATTCTCTGTGCTAAAGACTTTAGCTCGCTCTTCTCATTGAACGAGTCAGATGTCACGGGCACTTTGCAGATGTGAGTGATGTGTGGGGTGTCCTGAGAGGCTGGGACTCACACAGAGCCCATAGATGACTCGGTCAGCATTCAACCCAGGCCCCGGGACAGGTGACTGATGCTGTCGCTAGCGGGCTGCTTGACGCACTCGCGGTCCATATCCGAGAGCCTGGGTTCGAGTCCTGGCTCTGCTTCTGATTCGAGCGTCCTGCTAATGGGCATCTTGGGAGGCAGCAGGTGATGGCTCATGCACTTGGGTCCCTGCCACCCACATGTGGACGCTGGTTTGAGTCCTGGCTGCTCCACTTCTGATCCAGCTCTCTGCTGTGGCCTGGGAAAGCAGCAGAAGATGGCCCAAGTGCTTGGGCCCCTGCATCCACGTGGGAGACCTGAAGGAAGCTCCTGGCTCCTGGCTTTGGATCAGCGTGGCTCTGGCTGTTGTGCCCAGTTGGGGAGTGAATCAGCAGATGGAAGACACCTCTCTCTCTCTCTCTCTCTCTCTGTCTCTCCTCTTTCTGTGTAACTCTTTCAAATAAATAAATAAATCTTTAAAAAAAGAACTATGTGTGGATTTCAATTTTTTTGCACCAAAATAAGCTTACCTTTAAATTCCATTTTCCATGAATATTTGGAAACACTCCCATGTACTGGAAGCCCCAGGGCAACCCTTCAAGGTCATTATTCTGGCTTCCACTTTGCAGGCTGAGGGCCTGAGATTTGGAGGACCTAGGGCACCTGCTGAGGGCTACATGGCTGGGAGGTCACTGACGTGGGATTGAACCTAGGTGTGAGTGTGAACTCACTCCTTCATCTTCTCATTGAGAGCTTACACCGGGCCCGGGCGTGTCAGGCCCTCTGTCACACAGTTAAGGACACCAGGGCCGGGAGAGGCTCCAGAATCAGTCGCAGGTTGCATAAGCGGGACGTGGCAGGCAGATGGTGTCTGGGCGCAGGTCTTGCCTGTGCAACGCCGCATAGGCGTCCCTTCCTGCTCGCCGCACACCGCAGTTCTTTGCTTCTGTCCTTGCACACAGCAGGTGCAGAGCCTGCAGGGGACGTCCTGGCCCTCCTTCTTGGTTTTCAAAGACTCTGAACGTGAAGGAGTCAGGATGGAGGGGCAGCCAGTGCAGGGAGAGGAATGCGGCCTGATGGGGCAGTGAGCTGGGCGCCACAAGGCTTCCCTTCCCGATAAAGAAACTCCACCCCGGCCTAATCCCATCAACCTCGCAGCCCAGTGGACACCTCCAGCTGGTGTGGATTTGCAGCTGATGGGCCCTGGCCCGGGGCCAGCCCCTCCGAGGGCCAATCCTGGTGGGAGGAGGAGACTTGCCTTGGACACTTTATGAATGGCATGTGGGTGTGGACTCCACAGCAGAGCCCTGGGGAGGAGCAGGAGCCGCTGGGCCCCCCGGCCCCAGACCGACAGGAGCCATTGGGTAAAGACTTTATCAACTTTGGTGCTATTTATTAATTTTAAAATTTAAATTAATTTACATTTAATTATTATTATTATTAATTTTTTTAGAAAATGCAAAGAATCTGCTCCCTTCCCTAGCAGTCCAGGGCTGTGTGTCTCGATTTCTGTTGAGATGTCAGCGGGGGAGATTGGTTGTGGGGGGCGGCTGGAACAAAGCAGAGTGGCACAGACAGGTTGGGGGCGGGGGAGGGGGCGCAGAGAGGATCAGGTGTGGTGGGGGGGAGGGGGTGCTCAGCCGGGAAATCATCAAGCGACAGCGCTCACCAGGCCCTGCCAAGCTCTGCCAAGACGTCTCGGCCAGTCACATCCCCTTATCACTTTTCCAGCCCAGCTTTGTGACTCTGACTGTTGGACGGAGAACTGATAAGGGTAGGTGGCTGTCACTCACAGCCTCTGGAGCCTCCCGGGGTCACCTGCACCTGCGCCCGGGGGGAGGACCCTGCCGCTCCTTGCTGGGGAAGCCCCAGGGCTGCAGGGGATCCGAAGAGCCCCAGACCTGTCTTGGGGTGTCGGGGGCCCAGCCGTGCCGCCCCTGCCTGAGGATGAGGGCAGCCTCTGTGTTCTGTGCGCACTTCTTGGAAACTCAATTTTTCGATCGGCATCGACTAATCATACACGTGTGGTGGGTATTGTGTGATGTTTGAGTGCGTGTACACACTGGGTAAGGACCCAATCGGGGTGGTTTGCCTGGCCACATCGTAAGCACTTATCACTTTTTTGCGGGGAGAACATTCGAAATCCTCTCTCACAGCTGTCTTGAGATGCACACCTGATTATGGGTGACCACGTTCCCTGGAGCGTGCAGTGGGACCCTGGGACTGCCTCCTCCAGTCTAGCTGCACCTGTGCACCTGTCGGTCGATGGACCGTTTGCCTCTTCACATGTGCTCTCTGGGACTGGGTTTAGGGTCTCTCCTGTGAGAACAGCTGCTATGTGGTCGGCACAGTGGGCACGGGGACTTACTCCCAAGGCTCCCTTATACTAGCGGGACAATGCATACAGGAGCTAAAGAGCTTTGGACTTTTAGGCATTCCTACTTGATAAAACAGGCAGGAGCAGCAAATCCCATCTGATCTGAAAGTCCCGTCCCGGACCCTCTCTTGAGCACGCGGCACAGACTCGTTACACAGTTTTGTCTCTTTCGGTTTACGGGAAACATGCGTTCAGCCAGAGCTCTGCATGGCTCTAGCTAACTCATACTTCTTCTTGTTGTATTAAAGACAATGATGTGTTCTGTTGTTGATTGGTCCTTTATCACGTATCGCTGCTTCCATCAAACCCGTGTGAATGTATCTCTGTTGGATTGGTAAGTGGCAGTAACTTTGTGACACATGAACCAGTCCAGCTACACCTGCGGGTAAAGACAGCTACAGATCAGGACTTCGCTAACTGCAAACCCTTCCACTTCCTGCAAAGTGACCTAGCCTCACTTGCCACACTTGCATTTCAGCCACACAGGTACCTTTCTTTCCTTTTGGCTAAGATTAAGTATTAGGATCTTTTGTTTGTTTGTGCTTATTTGAAAGGCAGAGAGACACACAGAGAGAGGTCCAGAGACACAGGTGGAGAGCGGTCCGCCCTCCTCTGGTTCAGCCCCCAAATGTCCGCAACAACCTGAGCTGGGCCAGGCCACATTCAGGAGTCAGGAGCTCCATCCAGGTCTCCCATGTGAGTGGCAGGGACTCAAGTACTTGAGTGGTCATCTGCTGCCTCCCAGGGTGCCCATCTTCAGGAAACTACACTGGAAATGGAGGATCCGGGACTCGAACCAGGCTCCTGACATGGGGTTTTGGTGTTGTAAGTGGGGACTTAACCACTAGTGCCACACACTGGCCCCAGCCTTGGGACTTTTACAGTTAAGTTAGGATGGTCCATGTAAACAGTGGCGCTCAGCTTTGGCCGCCCTTTGGAGTCACCGGGGAAGTTTTGAGTGACTCTGATGTGTAGCTGATCCCATAGAAATCTCCAGGGTGCAGCTTGTGGGGAGGGGGGCGAGACGAAGGTGAACAAGGAGTTCAGGGTTTGCAGGGGTCTCCTGCTCTGATGCAGTGCGTGCGGGTCTCCACTCTCGACGCCTCGTCCCATCCCCAGAGGCTCGGATGTGATCGTTCCGGGTGTGGCTGGTGGAGTCCCGAGGTCTGCCGGGAGCACACAATGCCAGCCGCCAGCTCCCTGGCTGAGTCAGCTCCGACTGGACCTGGGGAAAGTCTTCAGCCTTTATCTTGCCTCACCTTCCTTTCACGGGGACTGGGGCCTGAGGACCACAGGAGCAGTAAACATTCCTCCTGCTCACGGAGAGCGGGAGCCGAGCACCTGCCGCGTCAGCTCCAGGTCCAGGAGTGCGGGCAGCGGCCTGGGAGGACACAGGCTGGACGGTGGAGGCAGCTGGCGGGGAGCACAGTCACCGCTGGGAGACTCGCAGCTCAGAGGTGCAGGCAGGGAGAAGCCAGTTAGGGGCTGGCTGGGCGGTGCGGGCGCCATGTATAAGGGGGGCTGAGAATGCCTTGTCCCCCACTGTGGCGTGTGATGCTGGAGGGGCCCCGGGAGTCACCCAGTGGCCACCTGGAAGAGCTCAGAGCTGCCCACAGCAGAGCATCTGTCTGTCCAGGCCGTTCTGCAAGGATTTGGCTTTGTTTTCCTAGTGCATAACTATGCATATTTCCACTCTTCTTTGAGTCATCCAAAGACGTACATGTGGAAAGATAGACAAATATCTAGCCTCGTTCTTTGGATTATCAGAATATTAATGACTAAGGCACGACCCCCACTTACTCAGGGCTAACTAGGAACACCCCTTGGCAAAACTCTATTTTAAAAAATTGTATTTGTTGATGTATTTAGTTTCGAGATAACACATTTACAATCTGCAGTATAGTCAAAGGCCTAATGCTCCGCTAAACAAAGCGTTCAAAAATAAAAAGTGAAAAAACACCCTGGTTCAGCAAGGGCTTTAAAAGGCAATCAGACGAAAAGAGGTCCATTTCATGCATACACAGCGACTTTAGGACAGTCGTTAGACTATGGTATTACATCATCCTGACAGGTTTGACAAAGATTTAAAACACAGTTTGACAACACACCATATTTGCAGCAGAACTGATTCACACAAGCCCCTCCCCTCCCCCTTTTTTGGTTCAGTACTGTAATTAGCTGTTCACTTCCTGTTCACAGTCTGAGCTAAGTACAATTGTTGTCATCTCCAGGGGATAGTTGGGGTTACCGAGATCCAGAGAGGGCAAGTAGCATGCCCTTGGCCGCACAGCAGATGGCAGGGTCATATCTGGTCTTGAAACCAAGGGCCCACAAGGTCAAGGGCACGGGCAGTGTCCTATAGCATCCAGGGTGGACCTCGGGTGTGTATTGGACACAGATCTTCATTTGTATGGATGGGGTACTAGGCCCAGAGAGGAGGCAGTGTGTTCCACCCACAGAATGGCAGTTGGTGTCCCACGGGGTCCTGGGAGGCAGGTTTTAGGACTCCATGTATTGCGGCCCACATAGCCAACTGCCACCCGGCACGGTCACCTGTGCAGCAGTGTGGCCCCTGCTGCTTGCTCCTGCACCCTGGGGGTTGGCAGAGCGCTATTTGCCCCTAAGTCCCAAGCCCCTGGAGCATTACGGCCACCCCACTGCAGACCTGCAGTCAGTGCTGGCTGAATCAAACACCCACAGGCCAGAGGTGCGCGGTGCCAGCCCGCACAGCCAGCCTTGGCCGAGCTCAACCTGCTAGAGACTGAGGCCTGGAGACTGTCTCCCCAAGAAGGTGTCCCCCACACATCCATGCCCTAAGTCACCGAGGACCCAGCGTCTCACGCCAAGGCTTCTTCGACCCTCAGAGGCACCGTGGCCCCAAGGCTGAGCTCTGGGTCCAGCCGCGTGGAGAGCACTGACCCGGCGTGCCCGAGGTGGTGTGGGTGGAAATTCACAAGGTGTGGTTCAAACCCAGATTTTGACACTGGGCAGATGCAGTGCTGTGCCCAGTCTCCATTTCCCCACTTGCGGAGTGGAGATGTGGATGCCCCTTTGAGTCCCTGCCCGGCTGCCCACCCCTTGGCCCTGGGCGCCTCTCTGCTCTGGCCCGTGGGGGCTCCTCCCGCAGGGTCAGGGAGAGGGGAGGCCCGGCCTGATCTGCTGTCTACAGAGAACCAGCCGGCATGCAGGCGCCCCCTTCCTGCCCGGGCTGCTGCCTGATTGCCTCTGAAAAGAAGGTTTACTTCTGGCTGGAAACCCCTGAGGCAGCGGATTTCGGTGTGAGTAAGCAATTCCAGGGGCTTTAAGGGGGGAAGGCAGGGCCCTGTCTGGAGCGCAGGAAGCCAAAGCCGCACCGGGCGAGAGAGGAGGAAGCATGGGCTTTCTCAGGGGCCAGGCACGCAGCATTGATATTAAAACCTTGCGAAGGAATGTCTTCATCTTTATGGATGGGACAGGAGTCAAAGGAACGAAACACCGCCGAGCCAGGCCCGGGAAATCCCCTTGATCCGGGATGCAGACTGCAACAGCCCCCAGGTGGATTTGCTGCACTGGGGGTTGGCTGCAGGCTCCCCCTCCCTCGCCGTGGGCGTTCACATTCCTGGCTGTGGGGATCCACTATGGGGAGCAGCTGCTGCTGTTTGCCCATTCCCTGGCTGTGCCTGCACAGTTTGCTTTATGCAATCTTTCGGCTGCTCTACAGATTAGGATACCAAGGGCTACAGTGCCCTCTGTCCCCATCCCACCGCCAGGGAGGGCAGGCAACACCCACGCCAGTTAGCCTTCCTTGCCCCACCAGGGACCTCCACGCGCGCCTCTGGGCTGTGGATCGTGTCTGCTGTTGCTGCCCTGGCCGCCCTCCAGCACAATTCCAGCCTCTGTTAGTCCTCTGGGAGGCACCTGCTGCAGTCCCTCCCCCACACTTAGCATCCTGGGGCCACAGGGTGGGCTGCGGGCAGTGCCATTGGAGGAGGGACCAGGCTTCTGATGAGCGGAGGGCACATCACAGTGACGGTCACAATGGCAGCAGCCCCATTTGCCTTGTGCTCATCAGCACTTTGGGGGCCTGGGCGCCTTTGATTCCTGCAGCAGCCAAAGGCATTGACCAGACCAGTATTTCCATGAAGTGGAGGAAAACCTCAAACTCGCCTCCTCGAATTCCAAACCCTACGTGCTCACGGAACAAGTCATCAGCGAGCAAGTCCTCCTAGAGCTTGTCTGGACCTCGCAGAGTTCTACAGCGAGTTGCAGACGTTAACTTGTTTGATCCTTAAACTGGAGGAGGAGTGGGCTAGCGTTCCCTCTCTCCCTCTTACAACTCGGGAAACCGAGGCACAGGGACATTTACCAACTTGACTTAGGCTGCACAAGCTTGGCTGGTGGCAGAATTGGGATTTTTCTTTTTTTATGGGAATCCTTGCTCTAAGGAGGCTTCATTGTCTCTCCTTGACATTGATGACTGGGGCAGGCCCTGGGCCTAGCTCTTATGACCCCACCTGGGACACCTGCATCCCACCCTGCAGTGCCTGGGTCCTAGTCCCAATCCTGCCCCTGCCTCCCTTCCCTGGGAGACTGTTGGTGATGGCTCAAGGAGCTGGAGTCCTGCTACACGCCTGGGAGACCTGGACTGAGTTTCAGGCTTCGGTCAGCTTTGGTCTGGCCCAGCTCCAACTCTGCGGGCACTGTGGGCAGTGAACCAGCAAACGGGAGCTGTCTGTCTCTCTCCCTGTCTGTCTCTCTGCCGCACCAAAAAAAAAAAAAAAAAAAAAGTGATGAGTGATGAGTGATGAGTCCGCTCTGTGCCAGGAATTGAGGCTCGCGTCACGTGGTCCTCAGGGCCTGGAAGCACCCTCCCCCCTCCCCTGGCGTCCCTGGGTGACATTCAGGGTTGCATAAATGGCCAGCAGCATCTGTCTGATTCCAGAGTCCCCGTCGCCCCTACCCGCGGCCGGGACCCGTCTACGTGCTGGTTTGGCAGGGCCGAGGGGCCGTGTGCAGAGCTGTAGGTCACGCCCCCTGTCTGTGACATAGATGTTCAGGGATGAAGGTGGGGCTGGGGGTTGGGCTCTCTGTGGGGCTGAAGTTTCTATAAGGAGGAGGATCAAGGCCAAGCCCCTAATCTGGGGGCAGAGGTGGGGCTGCAGGAAGGGTGGAGCCACGGTGCTTTGCCCACCCTGCGGGGAGGGCAGGTGCCAACGCAGGGGAGCTCGGGGCCGGGTCTCGGGACCCAGGGCTCCTCACCTGTTAGGGGCGGGGCTGGCTTCCCGTTCCTGTATACCGGAGGACCCTGGGCCTGGCTAATCTTCTGGCCTGTCACCCTCGGAAACTCTTCATGCCTGTGAACGCGAGGATTCTCGGTTTCTTTTTCTCCTGCGTCCCGCCAGCTACCAAGAGAGGCTTCCTTGTTGGAGCTTTCACGTGACGGCAGCTCAGGGCGGCCTCCCCACCTCCCCCAGCCTCACCCCCCTTATCCAGGCTGGCTGCACCTGCGAGAGGTGGGGTCTCCGATCGGGGCGGGGCGGGGGGCGGCCGCGGAAGAGGCGCTGCAGCCTGTGAGCGCGTGTAGCCGTGGGGACCCTGGCTCCAGGTTTGGGCCGTGTCGCAGAGCTGCCGGACAGATGTGCAGATGATGGGTGTGGCGCTGCGTGCCCCCAGAGGCCGGCCAGCCGGAAGGAGACTGTGGTCACGCGCGTCTCACAGCCCCAGCCCTGCCCTTCCTCTTCGCTCCTGGGACCTCACGCTGCTTGCTCACCCTTGCCAGGCCTCGCTTTCCCCATCTTGAACTGGGGCAGGCGCACTGGCGCTGACTGCGCAGATGGACGTGTGACGGGGCACTTGGCTGACCCGCAGGTGGCAGGACCATCCACGCACAAGAGCAAAGCGCCATTCATCAAAGAAAAAGGAATGCTCATGGAAAGGAGGATTATACGTTTGTTTTTGAGGCCAATACATTTTTGAAATCTGAACACACCCCGAGCCTTCAAGAAGCGTATGGAATGGGCGGCGTTTGGCCTGGCCGCTCAGACGCTGCCTGGGGCACCCACGGCCCACATCAGAGCGTCTGGATTGAAGTCCCAGCTCTGCTCCTGATTCTGGCTTCCTGCTAATGCTTGGAGACAGCAGGTGATGGCGCGAGTAGTTCGGTCTCTGGCATCCACATGGGAGACCCGGATGGAGGTCCTGGCTCCCAGCTTAGTCCCTGGCTGTTGCAGGGATCTGGGGAATGAATCATTGGATGGGAATGAACTCTTTCATCCTCTGTCTCTCAAGTAAATAAAGCAGAAAGTCCATGGAAAATATCTATTATGAAAAAATTATGCATGGATTTAAATTTTGTAAAGATTTATTTATTTGAAAGGTGGCGTTACAGAGAGAGAGAGAAAGAGAGAGAGAGAGAGAGAGAGAGAGAGAGAGAGAGATCTTCCATCTGCTTGTTCACTTTCCAAATGACTGCAACAGCCAAGGTTGGGCCAGACTGAAGCCAGGAGCCAGGAGCTTCTTCCAGGTCTCCTACATGGGTGCAGGGGTCCAAACACCTGGGCCATCCCCTGCTACATTCACAGGTGCAATCATTAGCAAGGAGCTGGATCTGAAGAGGAGCAGAGCAGCCTGGATTTGAACTGGTGTCCAAAAGGGATGCCAGCATCGCAGGCAGCAGCTTTGCCTGTTATGCCACAATGCCAGCCCCAGATTTTAAATTTTTTTTTGCACCAAATAAACTTATCTTCTTTTCCATGAATTTTTGAAGCACCTTTGTACATATGAGCATTAAAAATTTATCACATATGGGCCAGCATTGTGGTGTCGTGGGTAAGGTGTTTGTTGCTTGTGACACCGACATCCCATATCAGAGTCCTGGTTTGAGTCCTAGTCACTCCACTTCTGATCCAGCTCCCTGCTAATGTGCCCAGGAAAGCAGCAGAGGATGGCCCAAGTGCTTGGGTCTCTGCCTCCCCTTGGGAGAGGATGGAGTTCCTGTCTCCTGGCTTCAGCCTGGCTCAGACCTGACTGTTGCGACCCTTTTGAAGGAGTGAAGTAGAAGATGGAAGATTCTCTCTCTCTCTCTCCCTCTCTCTCTCTCTCTACCTCTTCCTCTACCTCTATCTCTCTGCCTTTGTCTCTCTCTTCCAAAACCACTGGGTAGGTTTCAGGGAGGGTGAAGACATTGCTACTGCCCCCTTGAAACATATGGCCTGCCACACCCTCTCTAGGAAGCCTTACGTCTTTCTTAGAGTTTGACTTCTGGTCTTTTACCTGCTTAAAAGAGCTTTCTTTGAGAGATACTGAAGTCCAAGAGCCTTTGCCAGTATTTCAAACTTTGGATGAGGGTTTTTGAGAGTTTTAGCAGTTCTGAGTCACAGTGGGCAACCCCCTCTCCATTCTTTCATATCTTGGCACACATAGGAAATAGCATTGGCTTTGCACGTGAGGGATAAACTGGGCAGACTGGGGGATATCTGAGAGCAGGTGAAAACACTCTCTATGTTTGCTTCTTAGTGTGTAATCAGGATGAGTAAGAGAAAGTATGGGGCAAAATGTTGTGCTTAATTTTTATAAAGCTTCTAAATATTTTCAAATTTTTTGGTGATAAGCTTGAGTTTGCATCTCTCTCTAATTTCCATGTCATTTTATATCTGAAATGGCAACATACAATTCCTGATCAAGACTTTAAGACTCAATACACACTGGCTAGAAATTTAAATGATAGAATGTTAGGATCAATGTTCACCACTTAAAGTAATGCGTAAGGAATTGAAATCCTTTCTTCTCTTCCTTTGACACTTGCAATCTTGATGTTTCTTTGGGTGATGTGAGTGGTTTTTGGCATCCAGTCAAATTTTCTGTACCGAGTTTTTGAAAATAGTCATGAAGCTGTCTTTGCAAACATGTACACATCGGTGTGAGAGTCACCTGGCTGGCACCAGGGGTGCCACAGAAATTCCATCTTGGGTCACGGGGTCTGCAACATCACCATTTCCCCCTCCAGGGACCAGAAAGCGGAATGACTGCAAGCAGAATCCTTCGTGTTCTTAATTCAGAAAATCCTGCCCAATCTTCGAAAGGCAGAGGTGCAGTCTGGCGGTTGACCACTAGAGGGTGGACACTTGAAGCTTTATGTTTGTGATGATTTTGGAGGGCACACTTTACTGTTGTCAGACCTATCCTCAGTTCAGATCACAGATATTTCACTGCAAAGGCATCTCCTGCTCTCTGGAGCCTCAGACTAGAGCCTGGGCACTTTTTATAGTAGGAATACAATGGAGGCAATGGCGTTTATTTTCTAAGGGGATTATCCATTCATCTTTCCATTTACCCACCCACTCATCCATCCACCCATCCATCCATCCACCCACTCATCCATCCATCCATCCATCCTCCCACCCACTCATCTGTAAGTCCATCCATCCATCCACTTACCCTTCTATCCAGTCTTTCCATTACTCATACAGGCATTCACCCAAGAAATACTCACTGAGGACTGGTGCTATGGCGCAATGGGTTGGACCTCCATCTGCAGTGCCAGCATCCCATATGGGCACCAGTTCAAGTTCTAGCTGCTCCACTTCTGATCCAGTTCTCTGCTGATGTGCCTGGGAAGGCAGTGAGGAAGCCCAGGCTACTTGGACCCCTGCACCCACATGGGAGATCTGGAGGAGGCTCCTGACTCCTGGCCTCATCCTGGCCCAGCCCTAGCCATTGTGTCCATATGGGAAGTGAGCCAGAGGATGGAGGATATCTCTCTCTCTGTCTCTCCCATTGTATCTCTGTGACTCTGCCTTTCAAATCAATCAATCTTTAAAAAAATACTCACTGAACAGCTACTATGATCTGGATGCTTGCTGGGTCTAAAGGGAGGCAAATGAGTAAGAAGCTACCTGTCATTGGAACTCTGACATTCCAGATGAAAGACATCTCATAGGCAGCCAGTGACCACTCCGTGTGGAACCTTGTCCCCACCTGTTGTTGAGCTGAGTGATCTCCAAAAACCTACAGTCAAAGCCCCAAACACTCTTGGTTTTCCTGCTCTCAATGACAGATTCCTAAGCTTGTACCTGGACCCTACCCTAGACCTTGGTCCTCCCTCCCTTAAGAGTGCTTTGGTTCCCTATTCTCCCACAGAACTGGCTGCTCTATGTGTTACCGGCAACCTGGCTTGCCCTGTGTCTGTACCCTGAGCCCCAGACATTCAGCCTAGGGCTGCTCAGATGCCTGTGGGACCAGGGCATCAGCCCCTCTTCCTCTTCATACATTCCCTGTGCAAGCTGGACCCTGAGCCACCACTGCTAAGCAGCTGGCAGTTTCTGGAAACTTGGTTGTCCAACCCCTAGGCCTCTGTCCGTGGTCCTGACCTCCAGGCCTTCAGCAGGTGTGCATTGTGGCAGAGGCAACTGGTAGGGCAGGGGCCCTCACAGCCTTGGGGTGAGCTGTTCTTGGTGCTCCAGACCCATCCTACTTGCCCCTGCCCTCTGAGTCTGGGGAGGGTATTTTACCATTCTATGGTAGCTCCCACTCTACTTGACGTCCTATTGCTCCTCTTATCGCAGAATGTTCTGTACTCCCTTTTGTGATTAACGCAGAGTGGGGATTCTTTGGCCTTTGCTTGTGCTCTTAGGGGCTTCAGAACACTGGCATTCACCTTATCTTACTGCTGTGTCTGTGGCCAGGGTCTGTGCCCCAACAAAGCCCCTGGGTCAAGTTCCAGAGCCTTGAGTTCCAATTGCCCAGGGCTGGGGGCTTTAGTAGCTCAGCTGCATGTCTAGGAGACCCCAGCAGAGAAATCCTTCCAAGCCGGGGCCAGGTTACCTTAGCAGGCTCACTTAGCTCATCCTCCCTGACAAAGAGCCCTGCTGATAATGATGGAACATGGTTGTCATGGTGACGGGAAAGTCCTGAATCAGGAAGGGGCCGTGAATGGTGCTGAACTAGCTCGGCTTTTGCATCTGATCTTGCTTTGTCTCTGCTCCTAATTCTCACTGGCCCCTGACTTCCTGCATTTCCCTGGAAGCTCCAGGTGGAGAGGGCTGGCTGCCTTGGTTGTGGCAAACCCCCTACCCTAGCTCTTCTTCTCCCTCTACCACTCATTGTCTTCCTCTGCTCACCAGCCTCCCCAGGATGCAGCACCTTCCCATAGTATGCACCTGTGCTGTGGCCGTGGATCCAGACATCCTGAAATGTCCCAGTGTGAGGCCTGCTAAGGGAGCTTCCTGAGTCAGCCTGCCTAAGAAGGGTCTTCCTGAACCCCTCCTGCAAACCTTCCTGACCCCGAGAGTTTGATGACTTCCCGTGCATGTGCTGCACATTCGGTTGTGTCCATCTGTGGGCTGGTAGGAGTGTGGGCTCCTTTGGCCACCGCTGACTCCCTGACTGGTGTCTGTCTGGTCCCCACCTGCCATCCCTTGCAGCCTACAATTCCTACCAGCACTAGGACCTACAGGAGCTCTGCCAGCCCTAAGTAGCTTCCTCTTTAATGACCCAAGGGGTTGCCATGGAGATAAGAAATTGTTTTAACCCTAAAAGTGGTGTCTTCATCAAGCTCCTGTTGGAAACGGCTTGATTTAGAGTCAGTAAGCTACATCTCCAGCCAAGTCCTGTAATATTAAAGAGCTGCTCTGGGTGTGACTCAGAATTGAAGCTGATCAGCCAGAGCTTAGAAATCTGGAACGATTTCTCTTCTCCAAGCAGCATTTCAAGGTGCCTCTTCATGACAGTGCAAACTGCAGGTGCCCCATTGTTG